GGGATGTGGTTCAGTGGCAGGGCACTGGGATGTGGTTCAGTGGTAGGGTACTAGTTGACCATGAACAAGGACCTAGGTTCAATCTCTAGAACCACCCCAACGATATATATGTTTATACAAAGTAGTAAGTCTGTAATTTAAAAATTGTGGTAAAAACAGGGCTGGAGAGATGGCTCAATGGTTAAGAGCACTGTCTGCCCTTGTAGAGAACCCAGGTTTGAATCCCAGCACCCACGTGGCAGCTGACAACTGTCCATAACTCCAGTTCCAGGGGATCCAACACCCTCTTCTGTCCTCCTCAGGCATTGCACAACATGGGTATACTTACATACCCATGTAAGGCATAATGCTCATACATATAAAATAAAATAAATTTTTTAAAAAATGAAAAAAAAAAACCTGTGGTAAGAGAATTACTGAGTAATTAATGTTGGATATATAACCTGGCGAGGAGAGGTTTCAAACGTGCACTGAAGGAGATAAGCACCCAGTGGACGGGGACATCACCCAACTTAACGAGCACAGCCCAAGCTTTGAGGAGCAGGGAGAGGATAGACGTGTGAGGTGAAGGCTGTGGGGATGGGAGCAGTGGAGCTGAGGCAGTGTCCCTGAGAGATGTGTTGGTCGGGAGCTGGGAGAACTTCATTGCCAACAGACTGCGGACTCCGACTGTTTAGTCCTGAGGATAAAGGATGAAAGTCCAAAGCACAGGGCCCTGGCGAGCGCAGGCAAGGCACTACTGTAAAAGCAGACTGGAGGGCTGCTGGGGCCTGCCAGCTCCCAGGACAGGTATGTGCATTCAAGGGTCAGTTCCGGGCTCTCGGGTCAGGTGTTCGGGACAGTACTGGTGACCAGAGAGGAAGCCACTATGAGAGCTGCAATGGCAAGCACAGAGAAGTGAGGCCACCTACCCAGCTCAGAACCCTAGAGACTGAGCAAGTTCTAGAACAAAAGGCTAGAGAAAAGGGAGATGGAGCATATGGGTTTAGAAGGTCAGCAAGATGGTGAGCAGCCGTAGGAAATCCAATCGCACCTGGCTTTGGAATCTGGTTCTAAAAATCCTGCAAAGAGTCTAGTAAGGAAAGAGGGAGGACTTGGAAACAATCGAAACAGAAAAGCCCGCAGTAAGGAACCAGCACCATGGGCTCAGGGTGCCACGCCGGAAATCACACCCAAGGGCTCACAGGCCCGTAGGGTTAGGACCGGGAGAGGCACGGGATGACTTCCATTGTCTTCAGGGATGAAGACACAGCCAGAGAGATAAAGTCTGGAGCTTGGGAGGCCTGAGGTCCTCTGTGCAGAGTGCCACCTCAGCCCCCATAACACAAGCTCATCACAACTTCAGAGGAAAGGGTCGATGTCATAGAAAAAAGACCACAGACAATTCATTGCTCTCATGGCTTCTAATGCTGTCGTTAGTTTCACGTCAAGCAGGTGAGGGAGAATAACATTTGTCCCTTCTCTCTATGCTACCAGCTTAAGTTAGCCTGTGACAACATGGCTTCCTGTGGCTTATGACACACTGGTGAATACACATCCTATGGGAACAGTGATCTGGGGTTTTCCGTGCATATTTTTACTATAGAAAAAGTTAAAACACACAAAATAACAGAGACCAACAATGCCCCATATAGCCACTATCCAGGTCCATATCTGGCCCTTGAGGGAAAACGTTACAGCTCTGATTTGGTCAGAGGTGTAGGAAGAGATGCCTGGGCATACTCCCTCACAGCTGGGAGCCGCACCAGCTGGTGCACTTCATTGGCATGGAGCAAAGACCACTGTGGTTCCCTTCCCCTGTACCTGAAGGTGCCCGCTTCCTGGAGGGCGTCCTGGTTTGCAGCCTCCCTGGTGACCCATTCCTTCAGACTGCGGACCTGGTTCTCCTCCTGCTTCTTTAGAAGAACATGGAGGCGCATCTTGGACACCCTCAAGAAATAGGCTGTGAAAGGCAGAGGAGACCTGATTGGGCCTACCCATGGGCGTTGGGTTACAGAGCCTATCTATTCACCCTACCCAAGAGGAAAGCCAGCTGTTCTTTGCCAGGAAAGTTTGAGAGATTGCTTTAGAGTCTCACCATGTTCACCACTTCTGCCGAGCCAGGGAAGCCTGAAATGATGAGATGGGAAGTTCAGCCCTTGGGGGCCCAACACTTACCACTGCACGTGCTGTCTTCACTTAAGAGGCCGAGAAGTATGGTGACCCTCCTCATGTTGCGTGCACAGCTCTCATTCTGGTCTCTGAGCATGCCCACGGCGCTCTGCACACAACTCCGCAGCAGTCTGGTAGTGTCTAGTACCTGTGAACACTGAGGGACCTGGACAAAGGCCAGGTCACCCATGTGAAACGATGGCCCAGCGTCAGCATGAATGACACCCCAGTTGGTAGTCATGATGGCAAAAGTTACATGACCTACTACTCCATGACCCTGGAAGCCCAACATTAACGAGTCAAGGACAGAGGAATGTGGCAAAGTTAACTTGGAGAAGGAATGACAGACATCTAATAATTCATCACACAGCACTGTGGACGGAGAGAGCTCAGCCCGACCCTCTTCTCCTAACTCACACACAGCCACTACGGAATGACAGAACTCAGCCTGACCCCTTCCACATACACCTGCAGGGCTTCCTCAACTCCCAGGAGTCAGGGTGGATGATGCAGCTCAAGAGCCTCCCTTAGCTGATGGGGAAAAACAGAGGACTCACATCACAGCCTCCTGGGTCAGAGGCCTTGTGCTCCATCTCCTCTGGACTTTCCACTTCCATTTCTTCCTCCGCCACCTCCCCTGGCTTGCTGGTCTCTGTCTCCATCTCCTCCTCTGGGTCACCTGCTATAAATGAGGCAAGCAGGATCAAGTCAGGAGGAGACTGGAGAGGGGCGGCACTGTCTGGGTCTGTGCTTGGGCTGGGACTTGCTGGCTCCCCGTCCCTGTCTGTAGCAGTGGCCTCAGTAGAGGGGACCTGTGCCATGTGGATTAGCTCCAAGACCCCACTCAAGTGCTCCCTGGCCTGGATTCCGAAGGCTGGCAAAGAAACCAGGAAGTGGACCAGCCTGCTGTTGGCATACTCATGTGGCCTTCCCTTTGGCCCTGGCACCACTGATGATGATCCCTGCTGAGGAGCAGGTGCTGGGACTCAGCTGACAGAACAGGGGCTTCCCCCCAGCACACAGCACTGCCACACTTGACATCTCCCACCTGCCATACCTACCCAGTATCCCTAGACTGCCACCTCCTGACTCAGGCTCAGGCTTGTCCGCTGGCTTGAACAGCTGGCTGATCGTGACGCTCTGTAGCTTGGTCACGTCTGAGGCCATGAGTGTGGATCTGCGGAGGTCATCGATGTGCACAGACCGCCACAACCCTGTGAAGATCAAAGCCACCAGAGTCTTCTAGAACTTTTCTACTTTCTTCTCGTCAGTTAGAAACAGGGACACATTACCACCCTAATTTTTTTATTACATTTATTTACATTTTGTTATTATGCTTAATTAGTGTCACATGCCACGGCACCTGTGTGGAGGTCAGAGGACAACTTGTGATAGTTGGCTCTTGCCTTCCACCATGTAGGTTCTGGGGATCAAACTCAGGTTGTCAGGTTTCAAGTTGAAAATGCCTTCACCTGCTGAGCCATCTTGCTGGGCTAACCCTGATTTTCAAATTCACTACTGCTGAAGGAGTGATCAGTATCCCAAAGTTTAGGCCTCGGGCCCACGAGCAACTACGACCAAGGCCAACATAAGTACCGGAGATGAAGCCTTGAAACAAACACCTGCAGAGGATCCACGGGTAAGGCCTGAGGTGCTTCATCCTTGCTTCCTGTATCTGCCACGTCATAAAGGGTGGAGACGCTGGCGAGGCTGGCTTTCCATTATCTACTAGATTATTCAATGGTTATTTCCTGTTCTAGAACACCATGTGCCCTGTAGCTGGTGACCACTATTCCACAGAAGACAGGAGGGTAATGATCTGAAAACAGCATTTCTCCCACAAAGAATCAGTGCAAAAAATGGAATGGAATTAATGACAGTGCCCTGGTGCAGGGAGCTCTTCTGTGACTTCCCCACATCACAGAAGGCGGAGTCAGAGCTGCCATGGCACTCGCGTAGACAGGGAAATGCTGACACCATTGCTACGAGGCCAGAGCTGTTATTTTTTCCCCTTTCTCTTTTGAGGCAATGGGGTCTCTTCATGTGCTCCAGGCTGACTCTGAGCTGCTAATCCTCCTGTCCCAGCCTCCAGAAAGCTGCAGTCGCAGGTGTGTGCAACCAGCACCCCCACCTTGAGATGATGCCTTTGAACACTGACTCTGGGTAAGACATCTAGTTGCTTTTGAGAATATTGTTGGGAGTGGCGTTCTATTATCAAACACAGGACTACATGAGAACACCTCAGACAATCCTCAGGGGAATGCACTGCGGTGTTTGGACCCCTCACCTCCATGGAATCCCACGTAGGCTGCTCCACTTCCCATGCGGGACAGCTTTGTGATGAAATAGACAAAGACTCGGTCCTTAGTGCCTTGTGTTTTGTTGATTTCATTAATGGCTGAATACCTATTTAAAAGAACAACACACAAAAAAATCAAAACAGAGCAAGCGAACATTAGGTTGGGAGATGGCTAATAAGCCCTGTGAACTGCTAAGGTCAAGCTAAAGGTCACAGTTTTAAAAGCTTTAAATACATTCACACCCGTGTGTGAACTGCTTCTCTGGTGAGGGCATGAGGCCTTCTCAGTGGACTCATTTCCTCTCTCTCCTGGTGCCCTCTGCTTAGCTGGCATTCCTTTCCTGACCAGAATGCTATGCTCTCAGGACTATGCCATGTGTGACCCAGGTTGAGGCTTGCTGGCCTTCCCTTAGGTTCCATGCACAGTGCTCTGCTCCCCACACGACAGCAGCTGAAACATGTTTCCCAGCAGGATCTCACTGGGCCCTGAAGTGCTTATAGGTTCCAGTTTTAAAGAGGTACAGAGATATACGTGAATATGGTTGGGGCTAAAGTGTCAGATTCCCTGACAGCATAGCAGCATTCATAAATACAAATAAAAGTTCTCTCTCTCTCTCTCTCTCTCTCTCTCTCTCTCTCTCTCTCTCTCTCCCTCTCTCCCCCTCTCCTCTCCTCACAACCTGGGCCTGGTAGTACAAGCCTGTAATCCCTGCTACTTTTGAGACTGAAGCAGGAGGATCATAAATTCAAGGCCAGCCCAGGCAATGTAGTGGGACTCTATCTCAAAATAAAGTAAGAGGGCTGGGGCTGGAGAGATGGCTCAGTGGTTAAGAGCACTGTCTGCTCTTGCAGAGGACCCAGGTTTGGTTCCCAGCACCCACATGGCAGCTAACAATGGTCCTGACTCCAGTTCCAGGGAATCCAACATCCTCTTCTGACTTCCAAGGGCATTGCACGACATAGGTACACTTATACTCATGCAGGCAATATGCTCATACACATAACATAAAAAAATAAGAAAATATTTTGGGGTGGAGAGGTGGCTCAGGAGGTTAAGAGCAGTAGCTGTTGTTGCAGAGGACCCAGGTTTGGTTCCCAGCACACACATGGTCGTTAACAACTAGCCATAACTCCAGGTTCAGGGGATCCGATGCCCCTTTTCTGTCCTCCACAGGCATTGCACAACATGGGTACACTTACACACATGCAGTCAGTACTCATACATACAAAATTAATAAATAAAGCCAGGCGTGGTGGCACACGCCTTTAATCCCAGTACTTGGGAGGCAGAGGCAGGTGGATCTCTGTGAGTTCAAGGCCAGCCTGGTCTACACAGTGAGTTCCAGGACAGCTGGGGCTACAGAGAGACCCTGTCTCAAAAAGACCAAAAAAAAAAAAGAGGCTGTCATTGTAGCCCAGTCATAGAGTATTTGACTAGCAGGTGTGAGGCCTTAGTGTCAATCTCCAGCAATACACACACACACACACACACACACACACACACACACAGAGAACACACACACACGCGCGCGCACACACACACACATTTATATAGTTACTGTCCTTGAACTTGTAATAAATTCAAATTGTGTAATTTAAAATTAAGTGACCAAAAAGTGAACTGCACATGCCTCAAGGACATTCCTTTTCGTCCCATTAATGTTCTATTACTTATACTTCTTGTGTCTTAGTTTTGCCTTTCTGATGTTTATGTACGTGTGTGTGTGGTGTGTGTGTGTTGTGTGTGTGTGTGTTCTGTGTGTGTGTGTGTTCTGTGTGTGTGTGTTCTGTGTGTGTGTGTGTGTTCTGTGTGTGTGTGTTCTGTGTGTGTGTGTTCTGTGTGTTCTGTGTGTGTTATGTGTGTGTGTGTTCTGTGTGTGTGCTGTGTGTGTGTGTGTTCTGTGTGTGTGCTGTGTGTGTGTGTGTTCTGTGTGTGTGCTGTGTGTGTGTGTGTTCTGTGTGTGTGCTGTGTGTGTGTGTGTTCTGTGTGTGTGTGGTGTGTGTGTTCTGTGTGTGTGTGTGTTATGTGTGTGTGTGTTCTGTGTGTGTGTGGTGTGTGTGTTCTGTGTGTGTGTGTTCTGTGTGTGTGTTGTGTGTGTGTGTGTTCTGTGTGTGTGTTCTGTGTGTGTGTGTTCTGTGTGTGTGCTGTGTGTGTGTGTGTTCTGTGTGTGTGTGTGTTGTGTGTGTGTGTGTTCTGTGTGTGTGTTCTGTGGTGTGTTCTCTGTGTGTGTTCTGTGTGTGTGTGTTCTGTGTGGTTCTGTGTGTATGTGTTCTCTGTGTGTGTGTGTGTTCTGTGTGTGTGTTCTGTGTGTGTGTTCTGTGTGTGTGTGTTCTGTGTGTGTTCTCTGTGTGTGTGTTCTCTGTGTGTGTGTGTTCTGTGTGTGTGTGTTCTGTGTGTGTGTGTGTTCTCTGTGTGTGTTCTGTGTGTGTGTGTTCTGTGTGTGTGTTCTGTGTGTGTGTGTGTTCTCTGTGTGTGTTCTGTGTGTGTGTGTTCTGTGTGTGTGTGTGTTCTCTGTGTGTGTTCTGTGTGTGTTCTGTGTGTATGTGTTCTGTGTGTGTTCTGTGTGTGTGTGTTCTGTGTGTGTGTGTTCTCTGTGTGTGTGTTCTGTGTGTGTTCTCTGTGTGTGTGTTCTCTGTGTGTGTGTGTGTTCTGTGTGTGTGTGTGTTCTGTGTGTGTGTGTGTATCAGGGTGAATCAGAGGTCAGCCTCAGGTACAATTCCTTAGGAGTGGACAGGGTCTCTTGCCGGGACTTGGCTAGTCTGGTTGGAGCAAACCCCAAGGACCCCCCTTTCTCTGCCTCCCCAGCATGGGGAGAACTTTTCTTGTTTTGTCTCTAGATTTATCGGGACTCTACACTGCTTTCAGGAAGAAATTCTTTCAAGGTCCTGAGTGAATTCTGGTTCCCTGTGTTGTTTCTGACAAGTCCTGCTGGCATACTTGGCAGAGGCGATGAGCTGAGCGCTGTGGACACCATCATCGAAGTCCGTCTGGATGATGAGGATTTTACACCTGGCTGTGTTTGTCAAGCAGGTTCTGGAGGAAAAAGGGAATTACCCAGTGAGTTCCCTGTCCTGAAAAAAATGTATAAAAAAATCCTCTGAAGGTTGGGTAAAGCCAGGGCTACATAGCAACATCACGGAGGTGAGATGCCCCCATCAGGTAAGCAGAAAGTGAACTCGCCACCAAGGCGTCCTGAGAAGATAGAGGACTGGGCTGGGATGTTTTATGACAGGGTTTATGACATATACCAGGAGGCCTGGGCACTACCCACTGCCAAGTGACCTGTTCTCCCAGTTCAGTAACCAGTGCTAGCTAATACAGCCCTGCCAGTGACACCCACACAGGGCTGGGGCCAGCAGGGCACCTTACCGGACTTCCTTAAGGAATGAGTATTCAGTGTCAAACTGCTCCAGTGACAGGACCATGGGCTTTGAGGACAACCCTGCCAGCTCAGATTCTAAGACTTCACAGTCATGACTGGTCAGCAGTCTGGAGAAAGTGGTAATCTGCAAAGAGGAAGACAGACTGTTGGCCAGAGACCAAGTGTGAGGCCCATCTGTTAGGGTTAGAACCTGGAAACATGTGGATGGTCAGCCCCGTCTGCTATGGGCACGTGGCACAGGGAGTGTACAGAAAGAGAGGAACCCAAGCCCAGAGTGTTTCCAAACACAAGAGAGGCTGAGGTGAGAGGACCACTAGCGTCAAAAGGCATCAGCAAGTCTGTGCTCTGCACCAAAGGTGCCCTAGTCTCCTTCCTACTTTGATCCCTTCTGGAGGTCCTGCAGAACACAGCATGTCACTTCTTATAAACTGACTTCATGCCGTCAGATGGCATTAACCATTGGCGTCTCTTCCTCCTATAACAGTTAGTTCTTCATGGACCACACCCCACAGTACAAAACCTAATATCTCTTAGGTTGTCCTGACATTGGAAACCCCAAATTCCCATCTCCTGGCCTCACCTCTGAGCTTCTGATTCCCTCATATGTAAACCTGTCCCAAATGGCCTCCCTAGTAGCTCCAAAGCTGACGCTCATTCCTGGATTCTGCATTGCTAAATAAAGCCCCAGGGGGTTCCCCAGGTTCCCCTACAGCCCACCTGCAACCAACCTTTCTTGATGCCTTCTACCTCTCAGCTCTGACTACACTGATTTGACGGCTTTCCAGCTGGTCTGTCTTCTGTCTTTCATTTCCCACTGCAAGGCCCATCTAAACACATTCACCACCAACGTTCTCTGGGCAGGAAAGACCAAGCTCCTTAGCAGCACCACTGAGGCCCAAGAACTCTTTCCTGTGACTATCCCAACCACAAGACACAGCCCTCACAACCTTGAACCTCAAGCTCTATCAGTGGACCTTCCAGAGACCCTATTTCACATCTCAGTCCTTTTGCCCTTGGAAAGCCCCCGACCTTGGATCGTCCAGCCAGCTCTAGGGGCACCTCTTAAAGAGGGTCACATCTGTCCTCATCTCCTCCCCGTCCCCTGCACAGCAGGCTTCCTGTGGCACTGACCCACCTGTTCCATCATGGCCTAACATACACATGCATAGAAAGGATGGTAAGTGTGCGGCTCCCTCTGTGCCCTCAGTCCCCTGCTCAGAAGCACACTCTCAAAGCCTGGTTACACTGAACTTAGCCTCCCCTGCCCTGAGCACAGCGTACCTAAACATCACCCCTGCAAACTGGCTTAAACATTAGCTGGAGTTCCTGACCCTAGGAACCTGGGGCTTGTGGGTGCAGGGCAGAGGGGAGGTGTGGGAAGCTTCACCTCTGTGAAGACAGCATGGCTCTGAGGATGGGTCGTGCGCAGGTGGGCTTGGAGGAAGTCTGCGAAGGAGTTGTGCTGCTGCCTGTAGTAGTACTCTGCAGCAAAGGAGTCCAGTGAGGAGCCGCTCCGCCGGACCACCGCATCTGGAGTGGCACAATCCAGCAGGATGAGCTTGGCCTCCTTGGCCACCTCTCGGCACATCTCCTCCGACAGGTCCCCAGGGCCCAGCCCCTCCACGGCCTGCAACACCACCGAGGCGCAGGCGTCAGAGTGGTAACCGACGAAGACGTCCGCAGGGCTGTATTTGTGCCTGGACAGGAACGGGTCCCCCTTCGTGTCTGCAAACTCGCTTGCCCACTGTGCCAGCTCATGCATGAGGCTCTTCTGCCACCCCTCCAGCACGGTGTTGATGTCCAAGTAGTGCTTCTCCAGCCGGTTGATGAGGGGCACGGGGAACTGCTCATACACCACGTCCTTCTCTTCAATGACTATCAGGCGGAAGTTGGCATGGACGCGACACTTCACTCGATGGGTCCCCAGACCCAGGTCCACGTACTTCTGGCCCCCAAGGTAGACGTAGTACTGGTTGAGTGCATCGTACAGACTCTCATACAGGCTCTGCAGGTTCAGTAGCACCACCATCTTCCCGGTCTCCATGCAGATCTTTACCCGGTTGATGTTCTTGCAGATCTGGGTGTACTCCTGGTCCTGGGGAAAGCTGGAGCCAAAAATGATCTCAGGGTGCTGATCCTTACGAAAGACTTTCTGCTGCAGGATCTGCAGGGCCACGTAGTTCCTGGTCAGCACCAACAAGTAGCGGGCCTCGGCACTGTCCTGCTCCCCGCCAGATGCCCTCTGCTGACCACTGTTAATGTTCTGCTTGATCAGTTCTACAGTGCTGACTTCTTCTGTGTACCTGGCCTCTGGCAAACTGGCTGTGAAGATGTCCAGAGCCTGGATATCGTCTTTACCACTGAAGTTCCTTAGGACAGCATGAGCAATGTCTTGTGGGGAAGGCTCCCGGTTAGAAGCTTTGGCTTTGGCAAAGACCATCTTGATGAGGCTATAATAGTCACGAAGCCCAAAGAACTCCTTGTCCTGAGTCTGACACACTGTCTCATAGGCCTTGGCAAAGGGTGCAAAGTACCCTCGGATTCTGTCCTGAACCAGCCTGTCGGAAGAGCAGATCCCCTCTGCGCTCTCTATGAGCTCTTTCTCACTGGGACTGCCTCGTGACACAAAAATGCCCCGGTTCATCTTGGCAGGATCCAGAGCCCAGTTGGAAATGCCAACAAAGCCTACTTTTTTGTGCGGGGCAGGGTCATCCTCAATGCAGCCATCTTCCAGCAGGGGGTGCAGAGTCTTCAGGGGCATTTTGGGTGAGTCTTCTGCCAGCCCGACCTCGTCCAGCACCACCACGGAGACATACTGCTGCAGGTCCTTGCCCTGCTGGAAGCGGGCACACTGCTTGAAGGTGCCAATGATGCCCTGGGGGGTGGAGTGGGGACTGCACTGGAATGACACCAGATGGACCTGTTTCAGGCAGCGGAAGAGATCAGAGTAGGCGGCCTGGCCTTGCATGGCATCTGCCACGATGATCTTGGCAAGGGATTTGGAGCTGCCAGGCTTCCCCACCAGGAAGAGGGGGATCTTAAGATCAATGCAGATGACCATCATGAAGACGTTCTCCTTCAGAGCCAAGTTCCTGGCTATGTTTGTCCTTATGGGTGCCCCACTCAGAAAAAGGTCCTGTACTTGTGTGATCTCATCCAGGATAACCTTGCTGTCGTTGTATGGTACTGGAAAGCACCTGCCAATGGCTGCGCGGTAGGACTCTTTCTCTTCTAATGAGGCATGGTAGCATACCCCAGTGGCCATCACCAAGGACCAGAGAACAGGATCTCTCTTAAAATTGTGACTGCTGTCACCAGACTGACCGAGAAAAGCATTCAGCTTGTCTAAGAGCATCTCACTATGGTCATGAAACCATCTGAAAACTTTGACGCAGCGCTCCACATCCCTGAGACTCACAAAACCACACTCATTCTCCCTCTTCCTCATGAACCGCTGTGAGGTGGAGAGCACGCCTGTGATCACCTGCATCTCAGTTTCATTGATGCTGATGGAGTTCACCAGTCTCTGGACGATCTGCTGGATGTAGAGCTTTTCAGCAGCGTCATTCAGCTGTCCAAAATCCCACACCAGAGGAATGAGGCTTGGAGGCAGAGCATGGACGCGGTACACCAGCTGCCGCAGGGGGATGGAGCCCAGCCTGTCTGCAGTCTCCTCTGCGCTGACTCTGTATCCCAAACCAGCTGACTCCAGGCGGAGGATCATTTCCTGGGAGTGTTTCCGGTAAGGGTTACAGGCAGCGATGATGTGCAAGCCAGAGTCCTCCTTAAGGTGCTCGCCGTCCACCGTCCGGTCACACAGGACTTCTTTGATACAGCTCACAGCTTCCGTGGTATTGGCTTCATCAAAGAACAAGATGGTGTCCAACTCGTGCTGGACCTTATTGGATGAGGCAAAGCTCTGTGCCTCCTTGACCTTGGAGTAGATCATGGATGCAGACGTCCCTCCATGGACCTTCACCAACTTCATAGTTTCTGTCTCCACACCACTATTCCGCAGGTCACTAAGGAATTTAATGAGCCTGGTTTTCCCACAGCCGGTTTCTCCCATGATTATAACTGGGATCCCACACCGGAACCGCATCTCAATGGCCAGGATCTTAAGCATATTGTCTGTGGTAAGCTCATATGTCTCATCAGGGTCACTGGGCCACTCAATCCCTAGTGCCAGGCAGAGTCTTTCAAGTTTCTCGTGTCTGGGCAAATTATCAAAGTCAATGTTGAAGGGTACTCTCTGAAGCCTCAGCTCATCGAACAGTTCTTTTGTCATGACATCTTTCTTGAGGACCTTTCCTGTCAAGTGATTGATGGCATCCACATAGCCATGGTCATTAGACTGCAGATGAAAACCTATGAATGTCATTGTCATTCGGTCACCGTTGAAGAAGACATATGGGTGGGGCTCTGACTCCCACCTCTTTCGGAGAGAGAAGGGAGCTAGGTCTTCTTCCGCAACTCCATCCATGGTGACCAGGTGCTTACCTGGACTTTGGTCTGAGGTGTGAAGAGTTGGTGTGGCGAAATCTCTTGCCATAAAGATCATGAAGGTAACCACAAAGTTCTTGAAGCCCCTGAGGGCATCCCCAGTGCAGGCTGAATTGCAGAACACAGAAGCCTCACAGTCTTTGAGCTGACAGTTCAGGAACCGAGCAAAGTTCCGAAGTTCTGACCAGGAAGGGTTTATCATGCCACAGTAAATCAAGAAGTATTGCAGGCACTCCTCGGGGGAGCCTTCCACAGAGCCTTCTTGGTACTGAAACACGTCCAGGTTTTGTTTTTGGTGGAACCGCTTTAAATATTGGTAAGGTCTTTGGAAAGCCTCACTGCAGAACTCCATGTGGTCCATTCCAGGCTCTCTGTGACTCCTCTCGGGAGTCAGTTCCATGTTTATCACTTCCTTGGGAGGATGGCAGGTGACTTTGGGGAAGATGTCAAGAAAACTGAAAGAGGGGGCACGGGCAGTCTGCAAAGAAGAAACATGAGTAAAATGGTTATAACCAAATTTCTTAGAAATTGTCTCCACATTTTAACTCTCCAACAGGTCTACGCTGGATTTAACTTGTCTCCATTGGCTGCTATCTTTTGCCTGCTGAGATTTTATAGAGCTGAATTATTAGGAGACACATTCTTAACCAGGAAGTCTTTTCTAACCTAATTTCCGAGACTTGTTTCTCCACTGAGTACACATGCCTGCACATCTATGTGGGCCTCCAACCCATTAGCCACTTAGGTCCAAGGAAGAAGGCCCCCGTGTCTTAGCTGATAGTCAGGGACGGCTAATGTCAACAGATGAGCTTCCCACATTCCCAGCACTGCTGGGATTAACCTAGACAAACAGCACTAACCTTGACTTGAGCAACCCAAATTCAAAAAACCACTAATCACAGGATTTCTTTCTAGTGAACATTACAAAATGTTTTAAGGATGGATTTTTCTTCTCACCAACACTGTGCTTGGCTGCTTCCCTCAGGCAAAAGATGGGGAACCACAAAATCGTATCACTGTAAGCCATGAGGGCTGTGGAACTGAGGCCCATCCCGAGAATACGTGTGTAATGTTCCACCATATGCACCAATTTCTGTGTTTGTTGTTGAGACAGGGTCATGTGTACCCCAGTCTGGCCTCAGACTCGTTAAGTAGCTGAGTATGGCCTTGAACCTGATGGACTGCCTCCGCCTCTCAGGGCCGGGATTGCATGCTCTGCCACACCCATTTTGCTTTATGTCTGTGTTTTTTTAATTTAATTTATTTTTATTTTATGTGTATAGTGTATTGCCTGCATGCATGTGAGTGCACCCATGTTGTGCAATGCTGTGGAGATCAGAAGAGGGCTTCGGATTCCCCTGGAACTGGAGTTAAGGATGGTTCGTAGCTGCCATGTGGGTGCTGGGAATTGAACCCGGGTCCTCTACAAGAGCAGTCAGTGCTCTTAACCTCTGAGCCATCTCTCCAGCCCCATGTCTGTGTTTTTTTTTCTTATACACACCTGTTTAGAAGTCCTTCTGGGCCGTACTAAATTCCCTTGAAGGATTTCAACGACATATAAATGGCATGGGTTCCGATGCCACATTTTCCCGCTTATATCCATCAGGTATTGCAAAATGAGGAGTTTGAAAAGAAAGCCCGAAATTCCAGTCTGTACCTGAAATGGGAAACACTTGGGTTTGTGAGCACAGAAAACAGCAGGCGTGGCTCTCACCGGAAGGGCCCACTGGTTTGTTCCTCTAGAGAGTGGCGCTGATCATGACTACATGCGAGGGAAGAGACAGGTTGGGGTGTGGAAGCTGCGTTCCCTGACATGGCCATTCTGTGGAGTGCTGGGGCACTTACTGAAGTGGTCACGTCAATGTGGAATATCACAGGCATTTTCTGGTATTTCTTCTTCAAGAACGGCAGGAGGGAGCTCAGGACTCTGTTCTCATCGACCTGAGAGTCTGTCAACCGAATAATTTTTAAAGGCACATTTTCATTGTCGAGCTTTGTTTTTAGCTTTTCGTGCAATCTGGTCACATAGAGCGACTTCCCTAGAATGTAAACACAGAAATTAGATCCCGAATCTCCGGACCAAGAGGAAGAGAGTCCAGACATGTATTAGAAGCTGCTTTCTATAAAATTCAAAGCTGATGCAACATCACATCAGAGAATGTTTTGCCTGAAATCCTCAAGCTTCCAAACTTCTTACTGACCCCACCTTACCCAGTGACAGTGCCTGCATGTCCACAGCATCCGTGGCGGGGAAGGGGCAGGGCAGTGCAGAGAAAAGCAGACTTTGCCCCAACAGAGCAGTGCAGTTCAGGGCATAGTCAATAGAATGGCAGTTACTGTTTCCTTCCCATGAAACAGACGGCAACCAAAGGGAGGATCAGGGTTCTTTTCAGCCACAGCCACCATTGACCCAAGAGGCCAGCGAAGTTTACGCATTTCTGCATGTAAACTGCAGAGAAATATGCCAAGGGGCTCTTGGAATTGCCCAGTTTTTAGAACTGGGTGAGAAAGGGTGGTGTGTTAGGACACTGGTTTGCAGCTACAGAGAAGCCAGATCCTCAGGAGACTCAGGCTAACTGAAGAAGGGCTTCACCTGAGCTGCCCCGTGCTGGGGACAGCAGTGACACTGCGGAGTATCTGGAAGAGCCAACCTCTCCACCCCCA